ATGGATGATTTATAATAATAAAAATAGAAACAATCTAATTATCTGAAAATAAAGGAGTTATCTCATAAACATGTACTGGGTAATTATGCCACATGAAAAACTATCTATACGCAAAGAGTTTGAAAAGATCATGGGACAAAGCATAAAATATGATGTTTCCGTTAAAAAAAAACAGAATGTAAAATTGTATTAGAGCATGACTGTGTGTGCGTGCTAAGTCACTAAGTCCTGTCTGACTATGTGACCCTATGGACTGTAGCCCGCCAGGCTCCTCTGTCCGTGGGATTCTCCAGGCAAGAATACTGGAGTGGGTTGCCATGCCCTCCTCCAGGGAATCTTCCCAAACCAGAGATTGAACCTATGTCCTTTGCATTGCAGGCAGATTCTTTACCACTGAGCCACCAGGGAAGCCCTTCTGTGCTATACAGATTGACCTTATTATTTATGTATTTTATATATAGTAATCTGTATCTGTTAATCTCAAATTCCTAATTTATTCCCCATCCCACTTGTTTTCTAAGTCTGTGAGTCAGTTTTTTTGGCCGTGATGCATGTTTTCCAGGATCTTAGTTCCTCGACCAGGGATCAAACCTGAACCTTAGCAGTGAAAGCATGGAGTCCTAACCACTGGACCACTAGAGAATTCCCTGTTTCTGTTTGGTAAATAAGTTCATTTGTATTACAGTTTAGATTACACATGTAAGTAGTATAATAATCTCTACTAAGTGAAGTTAGACAGAGAAAGACAACATCATATACTTTTTTAAAAACATCATTAATTTAAGAGTTTTCATAGCCTCATAGCCTCTTTTCTGTCCCTTACCTGCTCCCTACAGAAAATTCTGCTTCGCTCATTCCCACTCCCTCAATCCTTGAACTTCAGTCTCACCATGTAAATCAATGCTTTGTGCATGTGTGTGTGTGTGTGCATGTGCTGTGAAAAGTGGATATGGACCTACTCTGACATTTTCTGGTGGTGCAAGGTAGGGAGAGGCAGAGGCGAGCCAGGTACTTGTGGTCCAGGCCTGAGTTGCTTGGGAAAGATAAGAGCTCGGAAAAGTGATATGAGAGGGTTGGAGTCCAGGGAAAATTGGGGAAAGAGGATTTTAAAAAGTGTTGCTGTGGGTCATATACTGGATGCTCTTTAGTGTTTTCAGGAGAAGCAAATGAAGATTAGGATTATTTTTGATTACTTTTGGTCTCTGGCTGCATGAGACTCCAGATCCTATTTATTTACATACATGTGCAAAGAAGAAGACTGGAAAGAAAGAAACCAAAACATTGGAAGTAGTTAACTCTGCATTGGTATGATTATTAGGCACTGACATTCTATGTAAGTTTTGAATAGAACATGACTTAATAGTAAGGGGCTATTATTGTTGTTTAAAGAAAATACACATAGTAGTTTCAATAGAGTGATCTGGGCAGGTTGTATCACAAAAGGTTAGGAGTGAATAGAGGTGATAAAGTGGGCTTAGATTACTTTCTCAAGGAGTCACTATGAATAAGAATGACGGGCAAAAGCTTAAAGAGGCAGGAAATCCAAGACATTTTTGGTGGGAGGGGGTTTTTAGAATAGTGAAACCTGAAGAATGACAAATTAGACATCAAACACTCTGTAAGGATATTGTTCTGAAATAGTTATGATAATTTGTGTGTCCTGGAGGCAGAGGGAGTTTTATGATGTGATCTTTTACTAGCTTTGAAGTATTTCTCACTTGGTCCAAATAATACTGGTTGAGATCTAATAGGTAATTTCCTCAGCTGAGGCTTAACTGGGTCAATAGACTGATTTTCCAACAGTCAAGACATTAGGGCTAGGGCTATAGTGTTAACAAAGATAAACTTTAAAGGACTCTGACTGGTAAAGAGGAACACTGATTCAGGAATGCTAATTGAAATCTGTAAACTTACAGTTAAATTGGATGTATATTTGTTTGTTAAATTCTGGAAGTCCAGAAGTTAGAGGAAGTTGCACAATGCACAAAATTGGGTATATTTCTTATGTGAGATATTAATGGTTTGGACTTATGTCCACAGCTGAATCTAAATATAGTCAAAGCTTGCATTAATTCTTAGGTGATTAATTAAATATACACTAAAAGAAAATGAAGGCTTGGAGGACATCATTTCCAATCTTCCTGGGAGGGAATCACAGATGATGGTGATGATAGCATATCCCAAAATGCTCCCTTAGAGGAAACATTAAGTAACTCTCATGTCTTCAAATACTCAGAGATGACTAATACAGGGAGTTGGTGATGCTGATGAAGCATTGGGCTGGGTCTGTGATGGGTGAAGACATACCTACTGTACAGGTTTCAGCTGAGAAGACTGTCAGATGGATACCTAAAAATAATTTTCTCAGACTTTCTCAGTGAGAGTCTGCAGTACATATTTGAAAGAGGTTGTGGGGGGTAGGGAGGGTGATGAATGCAGATTGGTGTGGTTAATTAATGAAGCATAAAATTGGAAAGAGATATTAACTTGTCAAGAAGGTGTAAACAAAAAGACAAAAGGATAAATTTTTCAAGAACAGCCAGGGTGTGTATCAGGACAGAGGAAGCAGGGTGGCAGGTGTAGATTACAGAGTCGGAGGAGGATAAACCATCACGTTGATGGAACTGGTGTCCAACTCGAAGTACGATTGAGTTCTGGGGCACATCGGTCCCCATTTGTGTGAGCACAGAGTCAAAAATGAGCAGGAGAAATATTGAAGAAGAAATGCATTTGGAGAAATGCACTATGGAGAAAGTGTTTGAAGGAATTAAGAACAGGAGGGAGGTAACAAGTTTGAGGAGAAATGCAAAGCAAGGAAATGAGGAAGGAGAGGAAGAAACAAGTGTGTACTGAGGATCTCCTAGAAACAAGCAGAAACTCTCAATGCATCTATTTGGACGCCTCTGGATTAACTCAGGCTTTTAAGTGCAGTTTCCTTATTAGCAGATACATACCACTACATATAAAATAGATAAACAGCAAGGTCCTACTGTATAGTACAGGGAACTATATTCAATATTCTATAATAAAACATAATGGAAATGAATATGAAAAAGTCTATATCTATAAATAAATCACTTGGCTGTACAATAGAAACTAATACATTATAAATCAAGTGTACTTCAATTAAATTTTTAGAAATGCAGTTTCCTCAGATTTCTCTCTTAGAATGTGTGTGTGCCAACTACTTATGAAATAATGAATTAACATGCACAACTGATGTACTTGACTCTCACCTATGGTGGGAGACTTCCATTTTCTACTTTGCTAATTTCTATATCATTTAAGTTTTTATAAATATATATTACTCTTATAATAAGACAAAATCAGAAAAATTCTATCAGAATGAGGTTAGCTTCCATAGAAAAGCCACTTGTACCCCAAATAATCATTATGAAGGGTTGCACTCATGTTAAATAAAATGTATCATAGTAGTCATAGAGATAAAAATACAATACAATAAAAGGATATTACTGAGCATATTACACATCACACACATTTTCCTTAAAGATTAGGTTTAAAGCTTCACCCTCCACCCCACAAAAACTGACATGTTTGACCCCACTGTTGCCCACACAGCCACAGCTAAGATGATGTACATAGATTATCGCGTCTTAGATAGCTGTGTGAATGACATTAGCAGCAGGCACAGTGGAACTCCCCTCTTCACCCCATGTACCATGGCTGATAGTTATCTTAAGGGTCCCATGATTTAGTTCCCAAATATCTGCCTACGGATTTTGCCTGTAATCCTTCTTTTAATTAATGCTCAATGGTTTTCAAATTTAGCTCAATGGTTCTCAAATTTAATGCACATAAGAATGACCATACAGAGTAGCACACACAAAACCATGTATCTTATACTTAATGGGGAGTTAAGGGATTTTTCAGAGATGATTTGGTTTGAACTTGTTTTCCTTGCTGATTTAACAGCCACCTTGTCCCTTTCTATAATATGAAATTTGGCTCCACTTGAGAGAACTATCAGAAACTCAATTGGGGATTCTCTTTGCTGAACAAGAATTAGAAAACTTACTGTGCTTCAATTACCTTCTCAACTTTCCAAAACAAATATCCAATAAATGCTTAATTTCTATCCTGACCATGAATCCTTTAGAAGTATAGGTATCCATCCTTTGTTTTTATTTTTTTCTAATATAATGGAGTCCTGTTATTAAGCCATTGGGTCTGTTTATTAATCTAAAACAAATGAGTATGACCATTGTAACTCTAAAGGAGAAATTGGAGAATTTGAGATATAACCCGTTGAGGAATCAAGCAGATTCTCAGAGAATGAACAGTGACTTGATTGCTCAAAGACAACAGGTTAAGTAGAAGCCCAGGGAGGCAAACCTAGGTCTGTTTTCCCTTCTGCATTATCCTTTTGTTATCGGTGACACGTACCTAAACTCAGGGACAAAGAGAATACACTCGGGTGCTTAGAAGGTAAAAAAAGAGCTCAGTCTACTATAGCACTGGGTGTCTCTCATTACTGAAAGCACAGTACATAAATGATATGCAGAGGGAAAGCCCATTTGTCACTAGACCAAAAGAAGGAAACTCTCAGACAAGGAATGGAAGTTTGCAGGTGATAACAGATTTACAGAATCCAGGTCAGACAACGAGCCTCTCATCTCTATATCAGAGGCCTCTTTTCAGATAGATTAAGTGTTGAATGTGTTTTCAGTATTCTGTGGTGAATTTAGGTGAAAATAAACCAGCCTACAGATGTGTAGATATATTTTCACCAACCTATATAATTTCCATTCATTCACCTGGGCACTCCTGAAGCTAGAAAAACGAAAGCTTATACACATACATGTGCACAGGCACAGTCAATCACTTCCAAAATTCCTACCCAAGTTTGGGCAAAGGAACAGACACACTGTAGCACTTATTTTAAAAATCTGTCTGATTTCTCAAAGACCCAGGTTAGACTTAAATGTTTATATTTAAGGCTTTGGATACATGCTGTTTTCCAACTCATAGGACCAGGTTACCTGGTTAGGATCAGGATCAACTTCATCCCAGTTGTGAGTGATGTGGCCTTGGTCAATGAATTCAAAAGACTTGTGAGAAACTGAAGGTAGGATCCTATACAGCCAGCTGTGGGGAGGAAACAAGGACACACAAGACTTAGGGTGATGTTATGGGTGATGCCCAGACCGTCTCAGGACGTACCATCAGGAAGACACTCAGGTCCACAGTGATCCATGGGCTTTAATGTGAGATGCAATGACACAGCATCACTTCTTAATAGCCACTGTTGCCCATAGCCCTGCCTCTTCTCACCTTTCAACTCTACCCATCAAATGAAGAGTTGGAGGCTCTAGCCTTCGGTTGTTTCCATGCTGGCAAAGAAAGAATTGTTTTTCCCAATGACAACTATAAAGGAAGGGAAAGTACCTTGAGGGATATCTGTACAGGCATACCCACAGGAAAACGTTAGCTTATATATGTCATTGGATCCTAATCTTTGCTCTGACTCTAGTAAGTGAGGAAAATGAAGCCCACACAGTTTGAGACAATACAGGTGGTTTCTTTGTCAGTTTTGAAATATTAATCAATTTTCTTATTTAAAATTGTAAAATTAATTCATGCCAGTGCTAATTAAAAAAGTCACAAAAGGTAAAAGACTTTCTCCTCTAATTTCTCCAACGCCAATTCTCAGAGGCATTAGAACCGTTTAACAATTTTCTTGTATATTCTTTCAGATGTTTCCAATGCATAATAAGCAAAATTGCAATTGCTGTACCACTTTAGTCTCACAACAATAATGTATGAAAGTGGCTGATTACCCACATCTTTACAAATATGCAGTATTATGAATAATTTTGACCTTAGGTGAAAAATGCTATCTCATTTTTATTTTGAATTACCTTTATTTATGAGTAAGATTGAGAATCTGTATGTTTATGGGCCCCTTGTAATTTTTCCGTGAATTACTTGCCCAAGTTCTTTACCATTTTTCTATCGGGTTGTCTTTTTTATGTTAATTTGTGAGAGATTTAGGAAATTAACACAACTGTACTCTAAAATTATAAAACTATCCATATTTTCCTACAGCACATTTATAGCTTTGTTTCAAGCTTCTCTGGTGACTCAGAGAGTAAGGAATCCATCTATAATTGGGAGACCGGGTTTGATCCCTGGGTTGGGAAGATCTCCTAGAGAAGGGAATGGCAACTCCCTCCAGTATTCTTGCCTGGAGAATTCATTACATGGACAGAGGAGACTGGCGAGCAGACTGTGAGCAGAGGAGACTGTGACCCATGGGGTCACAAAGAGCCGGATATGACTGAGCGACCAACACACACAGAGCTTTGTTTCAGTAAGAGATGATCTTAATGAAGGAACCCTGAAGGACGCCAGGAGGAGGCCCATCCCGAAGTTGAGAGGGACACTGAAGCTCACTAAGAGGGACCCAAGTCCTCTCAGAGGCTGTTACCCCGACAGAGTACAGCAGGCAGAGGAATACCACCTGGCCCGATGGAAGGTTAGACCTGCTCGAACAGGTTCTGGCCTTTTAAGCCCCAGGACAGCCTACTTCAGGAAGTGGAGCTGACCTGGCCTCAAACTAAGTCATTCTGGAGATCAAGCTAGATTTGTTCGGTTTTCTTATGTTGCCTCTAGCTCTAGGTGAAGTGATTTCAGGCATTGGACCACAGACCATGAATTATTAATAACTATGCCTCACTAGCATCTAGTAGTATACAAAATTGAGAACATGCATGTGTATCTTAGAACCAACTGTGAGATCCTGGGCAAGTTTTTTGAGTCTATGTTCCTCATCCTTATCTCCTAGGATTGTTGTCAGGATTCAGAGTTTATGTACCAAGAATGCCTAGTAGAGTAGGTGCTCACTTATTAGGTGTGCGTTGAATTGTTTATCTGTCTACCTCTATCATCTAGGTTGTTATGATGGTCCAGATTTTCCACATTCTCTGTCCTGGCTTTTACCTTCTCAGGACCAAAAGGATCAGCTAAGTAATCATAAAAACCAACCCCTGATAGATATACTCTCTGATAGTTTTTGGGTGTGGGTGAGGAGTCCTGAACTCTGCAGTTTAAATGAGTAGTGACTAAATGTAGGAATACCAGACTTTCTCACTTATGGATGGGGTTGGCTCCATCTTCCCCCTGGGGATTTTGAGCATTTTCAGAAAACTCTTGTGGATACCTTTGAAGAGTTCTAGACAGATGGGTGAACCATGCCTAGGGTCCTTTGTTTTTCAGTCGAGTTTGTAAAACTCCCCAGGCAGCAGTACATTGCTCTGGACAGAGATTTAATTCTGCTTCAGGGAATGGTGCCAGCATCTTAATGAAATGCCAACAGCTCCTTTTCAGCCTCCTGGAACAGAGCTCTACTCCCGCTGGCTGAAGATATTGCTGAATAATGGGGGCAGGCAGCAGAATTCAGAGTCCAGGTGTCCCGTTAGTGAATGGGTCATAAAGTCAAGAGCATAGCCGTGGAGGCCAGGCCATCATAAATTAGAATGGACAAGAATTGTCTGTGTGCTTACCTTACCTTGGCTATCTGGGCTTGCAGAGAGAGAGAGATGATTAAATAGTGACAGAATTAATCCTGATTTGACAAGTATGGGAAATTATCTCTTCCCCTCTTCACGTGCAAATCTAGTGAGAGAGAAGCAATATTGATATTGATGTGATAACAGCACCTGCCACTCAATTTTCTGACAGCTTCTTAGGGATACCATGTATTAAAGGGAGACACTCTGCTATTGTGGCAATAAGGATGATTATGGTAATTAGTGTTAATTGAGCACTCACCACATACCTGGCAATGTGCTAAGGACTTTGCATACATTCTTTCCTTTAATTCTCTTCAAGACTATGAAAGAAGTACTATTATTATCTTTTTAACAAATGAAAAACCAGAAGGCTCTAAGAGGGTAGATGACATGCCTGAGGTCACACAGCTAGAAAGAGAAGGAGCCAGGATTTAAACTCAGGAGGCCTGACTGCAGTGTGGGCATGATTAATCAGTACGGGGAACAACCTATCATTTGTGTGGTCCATGATGCTTTTGTATTCACTGTCTCATTTACTTCTCAGGAAGACTCTCTGGCGATAAACCTAATCATCTTCCACTAGGCAGTACAAGACTGCCTACCCTCCGCCCCCAACCTCCAATATAAGTAGCAGCTCTCTTTTCGGAAACCTTCATCTGGTCTGAAATTCTTGCCATTGGACATTGCTTGTTTAAGTCACAACACTTATCTGCCTCCTCAAATCACAACATCTACTGCGTCTTATCTGCACCATAGGAGTTAACCAAGGGAGTGTGTTCATTGACCTGGCTTGTAGGACATGGAACATGACACATTGTGCCAATGAACGTGCTCGTTTCCAGCAAAGGTAAATTCCAAGGAGAAAAAACCTTATTAATTCTAACCACAAGGGGCCATAATACATGACCTTTCATCTAACCCATGCTTGGATTATCCAATATTTTCATCCAAAGAACATAATACTTCTAGTCAGCTGAGGAAGATATTGCACTGAATATCCTGTAACTTTGAGTTAATCAGTATTTAAAAAAAAAAAAAAAACAAGTAAAACTGGATAATTCCCAGGGGAAGGCCAGACTATGAGGAACATTTTTTTCTGAGTACAAGCAATAGTTTGTAAATGTAACTAGATATGTCTGTTTTCTAGGCTCTATGCAGCTGTTCTCTCCACTTCTCTCCACTCCCAACAGTCACTTGATTCTAGCTGGAGATGAGATTCATCCTTCCCTGACAATGACCCAAGGCACAGCCTATAAGAAGCAGGATTTGGGGCAGCCCTGGGAGGTTGTGGCCCAGGTATAAGAGGCAGAATTAAATACTAGTTATAGCTTCCATACCTTCTTTTATTGGTGCTCCGTGGACAAGTGAAAGCTGATCCTGAGAGCTGCTCAGCATACAGATTGTAGGGGCAAACTTGAGGATTATTCTAAAACAAAGGAGGCAATCAATGACATCACTCCATCAGAAAGGTATCCCACCTTCCCATGAAACAACTCAGTGGGGGGAATTCTGGCTTGGATGGGGATGCTCTGGGTCACCTACTGCACATGACCATCTCCAACCTATATATCCTTCTTGTAATAAGGTTTTAGGTAACTTATTGTATAAAATTTATAAATTATAACCTATCTCACCCTTCAGAAATATACCAATGCTGACATATGAGTATATTTCTTTCTATTCTTACCCTCCAAAATGGGAACCTTATGATATGTGTAGTCTTATTAATTAGCACATTAAAAAAGAGGAAACAGTATGTCATGAGCGTTTTTTATGCCATGAAATAGTCTGCAAATTTTTTTGAAAGATTTTTGTTTGCCATAGTCTTACTACTGTGAACATCTTTGTGTACACATTTTAAAACAAGGGCTGATTATTTTCTCCTCATTGTCATACCTTATGCTGTTCAAAGAAGTATAAGAAAGTCCCCTAACTCTGAACCTGGGGATCCTCCTGAAAGCCCTACAGTTAGTCTTACTTATTTTGGGGTAAGTGTTTTGCCATAGGTAACCATCATCCAACTTTAACTTTTGCATTATTGCTGTTCAGTATCCCAACTGTCTTAACAATCAGTAAAACTTTTAGACAGTTCACAGGCTAATACAATAGCCATGGTGGGAAGAGGCACTTGACCTGAAGGCTGGTCATACATTCTCTAATTAATATTTTATTTAGTCATACCTGTCCTTCTGGCAGAGCACCTGGGCAGCGAGGGTCCTCTGAGGCACATTCATTCCCGAATCCAGAAATGTACTGCATGTGACAAGAAACAAAGGCCAGCATTAATGGGACTTAAAGAGTATTCTGCTATTTGACAGTCTACGAAGGTAAGAAATTTCTAGATGGACATGTATTTATGTATCATGTTCTATACATCATATCTTTGCTATGTCTTGGCATGTGACCCATTTAGGAAAGATAATTTCTCTGCGTAAATTTCAAAAACCCACAATAGATTGGGAGAAGAGTGCTGGATATTGCACAGACTCACCACCCCTAGCTGTACTTACTTAATTGATTTATGGGCTTGTTCTTAATTGTCCCACTCCAAGAACAGGTTCTTTAATTCTGGGTCCATCAGGGAGTTCCTGAGAGGGGAGATGGCTCAGGCTCAACTCCAGGTTAGTAAGATCTTGCTTGCCTAGACAGAAACCTCCCTGAGATTGGCGCTCCACTCCCCCTCCATACACTGAAACAAGCAACTACAAGGAGACATGTGGATCCAATCTGACAGCAAAACCCTTGAGAAAAAGCCGTCCAATCAACCTGGCTGCAGGCAAAAGCCTATATCATCTGGCTCACATATGGAGCACTTGTATATATGTTTGCATCTATGTGGATACAGGAAAACAAAATTTGAAGATATGGGTGGCCTTCAGGAGAAGGGTCTGACCAGAATCTGTCCTCAGTGGCACAAAGGAGTGTATCCTGATTGCCATCTGTTTACTTTACGTTCAGAGAGAGGAAAAGAGTTTCTCAACAAAGTGTGTAGGTACCCTGAAACTGCTTCTGACAACACTTAACACACCTGTGAGTTCTTGTTCACTCTCTGGCTTTTCTGCTAGTTTATAAGCTCCATAAAGGCTGGAACTATGGCATCTTGTGTACCTCTATATATGCCTTGTGCCTTGTTTATAGAAGGTACTCAATAGATACCTATTGTTTTAGTTTTCCTTTGAAGCCTATGCCAACGCAAGAGTATGTATCCTGCTCTAAGTAGGGTTGTGTGTGTGTGTGACCCCATGGACGGCAGCCTGCCAGGCTCCCCTGTCCATGGAATTCTCCAGGCAAGGATACTGGAATGGGTAGCCATGCCCTCCTCCAGGGGATCTTCTTGACCCCGGGATTGAACCCACATCTCTAGGGTATCCTGCATTTGCAGGCAGGTTCTTTACCAACAGGACCACCTGGGAAGCCCAAGTAGGGTTAGGACCAACCCCCCACACCCTTTTCTCTAACTTAAACATCAAAAACGGCTGTTTTCTTCCCATAGTTGTTTCTTAAATGTACTTAGTTTAAGCCCATGAAAATGAAAGTGCAGCCTCACTCAGTGAGTGAAATACCACCATCTGAGCACAGCGTCTAAGAGATATAAGAAGGATGTAAGTGGGTGGAGGATAAGCCCTCCAGAGTTCTCAGCAGCGTGCAGAAGGATGAGCTGGATGGAATATACCTGCATGTGTGAGCACCGAGCAGTGCAACAGCTGCCCATACTTGGAAGGAATATCAAATGTGAAATGTTAGAACCTAGAAAGCATGGAAGTGAAAATATTCCTTTTTTGCCTTCAGACACAGTATTTTTTTATATTTGAAAATCTATCAGCACTAAAAACAGCGAGTTATATTACACACAGATTGGTTAACAGCAGTGGCATGCAGTTTGGAATGATTTCTTTGGGGAAATGACAGAGACCATCCAACATTATGACTCTCCACTGAATACAATTTTCTTCTCTCTAAATGAAACTCGTGCTCACCATCAAGAGGATTGAATCTGAGCTGCTGAGAAATGATAATGACCCCAGATTATCTTCAGCTCTGTGGGATGGAATTTTAGACCAATCTTGACTGAAGCCACAGGGTATCACAGTGCCTTCACTTTGTCCCACTGCTGCATTGTTTCTGCAAGGGGAGGCAGGCAGGACTGAGTGCTGAGTAAGACAGGTGAGGTTTCTGGCAGGAATGGGTAGGTTTACTCATTAACTTGCTTCATTCTTTGCAACTCCTGGCCTCAGAGCAGAGTCCAGGGTTATTTGTACATTGGAAACAGAGGAAAAGAGACTTGCTATGTGTAGTTTTAAAGCATTTGCTTCAGACTGGTTTAAAAAATAGAAAAGAAAGTAGAAAGAACAAAGTGGTTTGGAAGGGAGCCACCCAGCTCGGAGAGAGGTGTGAGTTCTGAATCTATTTCTCACTCTCTGCTGCTGTGCATTGGCTGAAGAGGAGGGTGGAAACTGCTGAGTCATTCTCAGACCAGTTGGTTTTCCTAAGAGAAAAATTACAGATGAGTTTGTTAGAGCTTTAAATATCATGTGCCTCACTGCTGAATGTATCAGAATGGAGGAAGCAGTGTTCTGTAGCTGCTTTCCCAAGGCTTTGAGATCAAGGACAGAATCTGAACTCTGCTCATATCGGCTGTGAAAATCCAAGCTTTCAACCCCAGCTGATTCAGTGACTATACAAATATACCTTATTCAATAAATAAATAAATAAATCTGACATTTGTTATGCCCGATGTCCGAATTCCCCAGCGGGAAAAGAGAAGACCTCGACAATGCAACATGCAAAGGAAGGGAAATTTATTGCTGACTCGAGTCAGGGCCCCTGCTGCAACCAACGCAGTGGTGCAAAGCCAGAGAGCCCTGAGCCCCAGTTTCCACACACATTTATAGGGTGCTCGATTTCAAACATGAGCAGTGGGTAGTTAGCGCAAGCTGATTGGTTACATGTTTGTGAAGCAATTTCATTGGTCAAACACACTTTAAAACTTTGGCGAGCGCGGGACTTTCCAGGGGACTCTTCTGGAGGCTTACTGGGCGCGTCTGGGCGCGTGCTGATTGGCTAGCCTCTGGTGGCCCGTCGGAGGAGGAGGAGAATCACCCCACCTTTAGGCCCCCTCCTAGCTCAGGGCGCTAGTCTTGTGTGTATTTATATGCTTTCTTCAATCTGGATTTCTGAATAATTTTATCCAACATAAAAATATGATTTTGTTTCCTTCCAAGAGAATTCTATACATCCTTCCTTTCTAAAGAACAAATGACTGAACTCCATGTAATTTCAGTAGCGTCAGTTCTTTGGCAGTTCCCTAGTGTACAGATTTTTAATTCTCACTTGGTCCCCATGATATGATTTATTTGTCAGAGTAGTTTTATGAGGTGCTTTTGCCTGACTCTGATTCTGGATAACACCCTGATGGGATGAGCAGATGGTGTAGCTCACCTCCTTTTACAGGGCATGAGGAAAAGAGAGAGAAGTCAGGGCAGAGATGGAACTATAGCTACCTTTTTCCCCTGTATAAAGGGTCCAGTATTTTTAGTTAACCTTGTTGGGAACACAGAATATAGATTGCTAGGTGAACTTGCCGATTATTGCAAGTAGATTAAACTGCACTAGGCTGAAGAGTGAGTGGCTCCCCAAACATATCTATGTCTTAATCCCTTGAATTTGTGAGTGTTGCCTTATATAGCAAAAGAGACTTGGCAAATGTGATTAAGTTAAGAATCTTGAGATGGGGAAATGTCCTGGATTATTTGGGTGTGCCCTAAATGTAATCAGGGCTTCCCTGATATCTCAGTTGGTAAAGAATCCACCTGCAATGCAGAAGACCCCAATTTGATTCCTGGGTCAGGAAGACCTACTGGATAAGGGATAGGCTACCCACTCCAGTATTCTTGGGCTTCCCTTGTGGCTCAGCTGGTAAAGAATCCACCTGCAATGCGGGAGACCTAGGTTCGATCCCTGGGTTTGGAAGATGCCCTGGAGAAAAGGAAAGGCTACCCACTCCAGTATTCTGGCCTGGAGAATTCCATGGATTGTATAGTCCATGGGGTAGAAAAGAGTTGGACATGACTGAGCGACTTTTCACTTCACTGAAATGTAATCATATATATTCATAAAAGAGGGTGGTAGAGGAGGATTTGACAACAGAAGAGGAAAAGGTGATATGATGATGGAAGCCGAAATCAGAGTGATGCACTTTGAAAGTGAAGAAAGGGACCATGAATCAAGAAATTTCTAGAAGCTGGAAATGCAGGGAAATGGATTCTTCCCTTGAGTCGTCAAAAGGAACCAGCCAGCACTTTGACTTTAATCCATGGAAATGTATTTCAGACTTCTGACCTCCAGAACTATAAGAAAATAAATTTAGTCATTTAAAGCCATTAAATCTGTGGGAATTTGTTACAACAGAAACAGGAAAGTGATACAATAATTATGTAGAGTGGGGGGTCTCATCTCCAACTAATCATTAGAATCACTCCCAAAGCTTTACTAGGTTTGGACCCAAAAATACAGACCCAAACCTAATAAATCAAAATATTTAGTCCTGGGGCCCAAAGTCTGCTTGTTAAACATCTCTTCTTATAGAAATGAGGAAATCAAGACTTGTAGAAGTGAAACAACTTTAGAACATAGTGAAGTTCATTTAAAATTAAACTTTATTATTATATCCTTTGACTTTTCTTCCCCCAATTGTGCTGTTTTTATGTAAATGTGATTTCATTTGAGGCTTTGGGTTGGCATATCCATTACAAGGAATAAATAAAAGCAGAAAAAAATTTTTTTAAACTTAAAATGTGTATTGATTAGAATGATGCAATCTGGCTTTCTGTGTTTGGATCTGTGATCTCTAGAGCTAACCTTTCCTTGCAGAGATTAGACAGCAGGCTTGGAAGAATGCCTTTGAAATTGAGAACAAAGACCAGCATGCAATTTACATTGGTGTTCTGGTGCTGTGCATGTTAAGTTTCTTAAAAATTTCAGCAGGATAGGATTTTGTATATAATTTATTTATAAATGGTAAGGATGTCTTTATCCTGCTGAACTTCCTATAGGATTTTCATCAGGAAATAAAGTTTTTATGTTCTCCCCCTCTTCTAAGGCTTCAACTACCATCATTGATATGATGACCTCCTGTGTCTTGTCTCCTGGGCTTCCCTGGTAGCTCAGATGGTAAAGAATTCGACTGCAATGCAGGAGACAAGAGTTCAATCCCTGGGTTGGGAAGATCCCCTGGAGAAGGAAATGGAAACCCACTCCAGTATTCTTGCCTGGAAAATTCTATGGACAGAAGAGGCTGGCGGGCTACAGCCCATGGGGTTGCAAAGAATTAGACATGAATGAGTGACTAACACACACACACATACACGTATCTAGTCTCCTAGCTGTCCCCTCCCCACTAAGTTCCAAACACATACAACTGACCACATCCTGGTATCTCATCTTTGGTTGTCTCTGGAGCAACTCCAGTTTGACGCTTGGATCTCAGAACATGCAGGGCTGTCTGTGTGCTGTGCCTATGCACTCGTGGTTGCTTCTAGCCCCCACCCCTTCTAAGTTAGTCACTTTCAACCTCTCTCTAAGACTGAGCTCAGGAAGAGCTTCCCTGGTGACTTAGATGCTAAACCTGCTTGCAGTGTGGGAGACCAGGGTTTGATCCCTGGGCTGGGAAAGTTCTCTGGAAAAGGGAATGGCTACCCTTGCCAGTATTCTTGCCTGGAGAATCCCATGGACAGAGGTGACTGAGCATTTTCACTTATCTTTCAGGAAGAGCCTCCTTTAAGAACTCTCTCTCGGTCTCACCTAGTCCAGATTCCGTTCCTTTCCTATGTCATTTTGTGGCATCACGTACTAACACATAATATTTGCTAAATGAAACAGTGAGAACTCTTTCTCAGTCTTTCTCTCAATCAGACATGAAGAAGCAAATGATTTTATTTCAGTGTTGAGTAGTTTTAGGACCCCCATCAACTAGGGAGATGTTTGATTTTCAAAATCAGCATCAATTGGAGGGCATTCAGAAAGTGTTCATATCCTGGAAAGAAGCCTGGAGTCTGGCATACTTGGCTTGAGTCAAGATTCTGGATAATTCTACTTAGTTCCACATAACTGTCTTGGGCACTGATGCAAGCCTGAGGTGGACACTAGGTGTGGTTTTAGAAACTGGGGACACACTCCCTTTCCCTGGCCTTAAGGCACTCAGTCTAGCAGGTGCCACTAAGGCTCCCTTTGGAGCCTGGGCATGGATTCAAACACACCTAATTTCTAATCCAGTCTCCATCACCTTTCTTGCTTAGCAGTGACCTTGAACAAGATACTCAATCTCTCTGAAGTTTACATTCTTTAATGGTAAAGTAGCTCCATCCTAGATTTATTTGGAAGATTATGAGTTAATTCATTAATAGCACATCGATCATACATATATTTCAATTGCAGACTAAATAATAAGGTATTATTTCCTAGAGGAAGTGTTAGGACTTCTGCTGGTCAAGGGCTGATTGTGAGCCTCAAAATAACTGAATAAACATATCTAACTGGTGGGCTGGAGGCTGTCCAGGAAACTGCAGCGACAGGAAGGTGTGTGAGAGTAGGGACTGGAAAACAGTCACAGGGAGAAATGTGTCTGTCCATAGTGGAGGAGAGACTTTACAAGTTCTACAGATTCCCAAGATAATATATGAACTGAACAAGACAAGAGATGGACAACTAGACTGTCATCTGTTTTCTTTGTCATCCTCCAGCCCCAGCCATGCTTACGGCAAAGATTTGAATACAGTAGCTTGGACCAGGGCCTCTCTAAGTTAGTGCTAACTCTGACTCTCTGGAATTTTCAGAAGCTTCCATGAATTGTGGCTGAAAAAGCCACAGAAAAGTGGACAGATCGTTTCTTACCTTCAACTCAGCCATTTTCCTTCTGCTGCAGGTGTGATGATTTTAGGAAATCCAGGCCCTGATGCTTCTGCTTCTCCTGCAAACCACCCTCTGGATGTTATTCCACTTCATCACTGTGCTTACTGGTCAGCAGGTCACTCAAATCAGTCACAGGCATTTCAAATCAATAACTGGCCTATGCTAGCGAGAAAGTCCAGCATGTTTGTTCCCAAACTGCTTTCACAATTGCCTTTGGTTTTTATTAAACCTGGGCTGTTTCTAAAGAGTTTGCAGAGGCCTGTCTCCTCTTCACCCAAGATAAAGGTTGATCATTTATTTGTTTCAGGTAAAGGAGGGAGGCTTATCACTAATGGCAAGAGAATTTAAAGCTCTCTATGAGAGGAACTGTAGCAGTTAGTGCTTGGTGTGTGAGGCAAAGGCTTCCCCACTCAGTCCTGACTCAGGTCAGGAAGGAGCACAGCAGAGCGTTCACTCTCTGAGAGCAGTGAGGAAACGAGCTGTGCCCTGACAGAAGTGTTTTCACATAGCTGCCTGAAACATGGACCAGGTCTGGACAGCTCTCCACACTTGCCTCCCAGGGATGAGCTGGGTGAACAGTTCAGAGCCTGAAGCACTCCATTTAAAGCCGATTTAGATGTTTACTACTGTTCCACTTGGGCTTCCCTGGTGGCTCAGATTGTAAAGTGTCTGCCCACAATGAGGGAGAACTGGGGTTCAATCCCTGGGTTGGGAAGATCCCCTGGAGAATGAAATGGCAACCCATTCCAGTATTCTTGCCTAGAAAACCCCATGGACAGAGGACCCTGGTAGGCTACAGTCCATGGTGTCAAGAAGAGTAGGACATGGCTGAGTGATTTCACTTTCTTTCTTTATTGTTCCACTTAATTTCTCAAATATATTTAGTGTTCTTATAAATTCCTTAAGAATATTATTTCCTTATGCTTGTATACCTCTAACAAGAGACCCAAGGGTTATCTTCCAGTCACTGTTCCATGATTCCCTTGTCCTTCATCTTGGCTACTCTCCTTAGCCATGGTCAGGTATCAACTTCATGGCTAATGGCATTCAGGAAGGAAGAAACCACATATTGAGTGCTGGTCATGCCAGATTTTCCCACAGACATTACCTCATTTAATCGCACAAAAACAATCTTGTAAACTAGGCTTTATTATCGTAAACTCAAGTGCAACAGACCAGGTAGGACATGTAAATGGGTAAGGTAGGCTAAGTTTTAAAGATATATAAATGAAGTTCCAATTTTTAAACACTGGCAACTTATACAAGTGAGTGGATGAATTAATGAATGAATGAAGTCACTATAACAGATTGTAAAAAATGCCCACAATTTCCTTTCAACCTTGCATACATGCTCCTTTGCAATGTGACTTTGCTGCTCCTCCCAAAGTGAGATGGAGTCTTTAATTTATCTCCTTGAATCTTACTTTGGCTAATAGCAAACACAACATAAGCAGAGGTTTGAAAAATGCTTGTGCTTTAGGATTTTCCCATTTCTTGCTACTTGAGACCACCACGCAGGCTAGCCTCCTTGAGAGTGAGACACAATCTGGACAAAGAGAATGGGATACCACCTGGATAAAATAACCTTTGGGTCTCTTATTAGAGAGATACAGGCATAAGAAAATAAGATTCTTAAAGAATTTATACCACATTGTCTTTGTTGAGTTGTCCAGGCACTCAACAGCCAGCACTAGGTGCCAGATGTGTGAATGAAGCCATGTGGCTCCCAGATGACTGCAGACACATATGTGACCCTAGGTGAGACCAGCAGAACCACCAGCTAAATCCAGCCCAAATTGTGGACACACAGAATTGTGAGCAAATAGAATGACGTATTTTATGCCAGTAAAGTTTTGGGGTGTTTTGTTCAGCAGTGATAGGTAACTGATACAATTATGTCAAAAAAAGCATGCATATAGGTGTGAGTGACTATGGTCTGCCAGCTTGACACCTTCTGCTTTAGATAAATGGGCCTAAGCATCTTCCAGAGGTCCCCAGGCTCCAGCATACTGCAGTAGCAGCAGAGCAGCAGAATGATTTGCTTGTGTCTGAGGTGTTAGTGCAGAAAGACCAGCCCAAAGGCACCATGTTGATAGAAACAAGTGACAGACTGGAAGCACACTGTGTGGATTGATGCCTGCAGACCAGGGGACTTACAGCACATCTCAGCATATGTCAGCACAGACGGCTGACATTGTGGTATTACACAAGCTTCCCTGGAATTTATATGCAAACCTGGGACAAAGGGGGAAGGTGTAAACCCCAGCTTTACTGAGGCTAGGTTTTTATTATTCCTGCAATATGCAGACTCAAAATTAAAAGTGAATTCAGGAAAAATATTTCTTGCATATCTGAGTTTATGAGTACATTGGCTCTTGAACTGCTATTGATCCTGGAAGCCAGAGTATGGTGATTAGGGGGAAAAATGGATGGGAACCAATAAGAGACAAAGGAAAAGCTTTACTGCTTTGATTTTCCATAAACTTCATGTGCTCTTTCTGAATCAGCATTAAAGGCAGATTTAAGAGGTGTTTTAGTTCTTTCCTAAGATGTGAGAGATTTCTGAAAGAGTAAGAAAGTGGTAAGAGATCCTTGACAGAATGAAAATCATTTTAGGGGACTGAAAATATTTAAAGTCGAATAAACCTATCAATTTCCTATTTAAGGTTTTTTCCCAAGTGGGTTCACTTTATTTCCTGTCTTCTGTTTTTGTAACAATAACTCAATAAAACAAATATTTGCTTTGCACCACTATGTGCCAGGTATAGTGCCATATACACTTAGGAGAAATGAGAACACATAAAACACAGAAACACACAGCTTTGATTCTATGTCTGATGGCTTTCTATTTTAATCTAATTACATATTTATTTCACAGCTATTGGGGACCTGCTATATGCCAGGCCCTGTGAGATGTGGGGGATGCAGAGATGAGTCTGGTCCTCTAGGAGGGCGCACACTGGAGACTGACCAATAAATGGGCCATTACAATAGGGTGCCTGGACTCTTCCTGTGACAAGGAAGAAGAGTCCATGGTGTTATGGGAGGGATTAGAGACTGCAGAGCTCTGACTAGCAGGGCAGGGAAGGCTTCCTGAGGAGGCAATAGCTGAGCCAAGTCACATACAGTAGGGGATGCATCGAGGGAGGATTGTGTACAAAGAGAAGTGCAGTGCATTCAAAAACCTATTTTTAGTGCACTGATGGGATAGAGTGGAGTCTAGTGAGGGAAGTCTTTCAGAAAGGGGAGTTTGGAGAGATATTTAAAGCAAGGGAAAGAGACAGGGTGATTAACATTCAAAAAGACACCCAGTGGAAGAAGCAGGTTGTGTGTAAGGCATACAATATACTGGGTAAGGCAATCATACACTGGACCAGAGAAGAATCACAGTATCCAAGTGGTGAGCAATAATAAAGATGCTAAAAACCAGGCAGAGGGAGAGGGATCCAGTGAATGGATGTGGGGAACAGGTGAAGTGAAGAATTTGAAAAGGACCAGGAATTGGAGACACCAGATATATGCCACCTCTGGATTCTGGCACAAGATAGGCTTACTCTCTGCAGAAGCTCTGGACTCACACACACCAGGGAGTGGGGAGAAGGACCAAAACCAAGTGTAGTGATGATGAAATCTCCACTTTCCTTCTCTGACTGCACTTCCAGAATGCTACCAGCAATTGTTTTACCCTCCGGACAGGACCCTGGAGGATTCTTCTCTAGGACAGTATTCCATAAATACTATACATTTTGATAAATACTTATTAAATATAGTCTTTCTGGAAATGCTTCTTTTAATGAGGTGAATGGCTCCCTCCCACCTTCATTTATATATTCATGAATTAATAATTCTTATTTCTAGAAAGACACAGGATTCCACATCTTTTAATCCTAATTCTTGCTTTTACAGACATAAATGTTGAGAAAATTTGTTTGCATAAATAAATGGTTATGAATGGAAGGGATTTTTTATATCACTGAAATTCCTTCTGAATTAAACACCAAAAATTACACACTGATCTACCATTAAATATTATTTTAATGACTTATCAGTTAACAACTCAACGAGGTTAATTTTATTGCAAGCAAATAATTGGAAACCTGATTTGGATCGGATTTGTTACCCAGTTATTGGAACCATTACTGTAACTGTCACCTTTTCACTTGGAGGTGCTTTGTCTAATTCATTTACTAAGAAAGGGTTAGGAAAATAAAAATGTTAAGTATATATACTTTGCCTGTATAATTATTTTTGATAAAAATGTTACTTCCATATTTTGATAGATTTCTTTCATGGTGAGAAGCCTTGACATGAAAGAAAGTGCCATATAGCCATGGATGTTTCTTATGAAAGCTCTTTGCTTTGTCCTCAGGAGCTATTCCTTAAGAGCTCTGCATTTTTTTTTTTTTGTAATTGTGAGGAGTGGAACAGACAAAATCCTTAAATAAAACTAATATTTAGAAATGCCCTTTTGTTGGCATCCTGAAGATATTTACACCCTGGGGCAATAAGCCGTATTTCTATTGCAATATTAGGGAGATGCTCCTTTTCTATAGTGGGAAAAGGGCAATTGTGAATGTAGAGGTAAGAAGTAAGAACCAGCATTGAGCTGCTTCACAAGTACTGTTAATAAAGATACATTCATATGAGAATTAATGACCTGGAAAATGATTCCCTTAAACTATTTGTGCCTTTGTACCTCTTGGAAGAGATACATGCACACATCTCAGTTGGAAGACCACTGATCCACACCAAGTAAGTGGAAAACATTGCATCCAGGAAGCTGGGGATTGTCACAGGGTAACGAGAAGGATGAGCGGCACGCCTAGAGAGCAGTCACTCCAGAATGCAGTTACAGCAGTGGTCCCCAACCTTTTTGGCACTAGGGACCAGTATTGTGGAAGACAGTTTTTCCACGAATGAGGCAGGGGGATGGCTTTGGGATGATCCAAGAGCATTACGTTTATTGTGCACTTTATTTCTATTATTATTACATCAGTTCCACCTCAGATAATCAGGCCTCAGATCCCAGAGGTTGGGGACCCCTGAATTAAGAGGATGGAGGACATCAGAACTGATGCCTCCAAGAAGAAAATGAAACTGATAGATTAGCTGATCTATTTGATGGTACTGAGCAAGATTTTAGATCTTTGTTGAAGTTTAGGGGTTTCACTCTTCACCATGACTTATTGATGACCTTGGTAAACCTTAGTGGTTAGCCAGCTAAGAAAACAAATATGGTATAAGAGAGGGGCTATGTGTAAGATGACATGGTATTTTATTAGAAATAGATATACCCCAAAGGTAGAAAGTAGTAGTAATAAAAATGGGTAGTAGTACATCAAGACAAATATCTCCTGTTTTGTGAACAGAGGATGTGATAATCCGGTTACGATTGCTGTGGTGTGTATAGTCTTGAGAGGGAGGCATGGCTCAGTTCATTACAGGGTGACTGTGCAGAGGAACCCAAACATGAACTTTGATGAACTCTGCAAAACTGGTGCCATTAGTCTACAATCCATGTATTCCTTACTTTTTTTAGATATGAATTTGTTTTTTTCAAAGGCTGGATTCTGAACTACCTGCATTAAAATCACCTAATTTGCCTGTTAAAAATACAAAATCCCGGCCCTATGTCATATAATAGGGTTGGCCAAAAAGTTCATTCTGCTTTTCCATAAGACTTCATGGGAAAAAGCAAAGAAACCTTTTGGCCAACCCAATACATAGAATTGAGTGAAGGGGGCAGAAGAAATTTCAGTCTTTGCATTTTAAATAAACACTTCAGAGGACTTTCATGCATTTTTGAGTTTGAAAGTCATTTCTTTGAGTTCTTAAATGAAGGTGCTAATTAACTCAAAGTTGGATCTCTTTCCTACTCTATGGAGCAGCCCTGACAGGCTCCAACTCCCAATTCTGCATCAGGCCAACATACTGGGTAATATGTGAGGTTCAGGGTTCTCCCAGGACTAGGCTTCCTGCAACCCTTCCTCTCCTACCACAGTAATTTAACTCAGTTTTGGGATTAGGGAGAAATGAATTTTTTATTTCCTTCTCCTCCTCCCTGCAAAGGGTATCCTCCTTTGAATTTTAACAGATATTAAATCAATGCGGACATCCTGTTAGACCTTCAAACTTCTCAAAACAGTTGCTACCTGTGCTTTAAACCAGCATTTAGATACACATACAAGGCCCTACCTGGAATGGGTGCTAAAGCACACACTATTGAAATGAAGACTCAAAACCTCTGATTATAGAGGCCGGTTAGGAACTCTTTACCTCAGTCTGATGACCCAGCCCAGCACATCGGTTCTATTAAGTCCATTTTCAGAATGGATAGAAAAACAGCAGTGTCAAGGCACCTGGATTATATCAAAGATGCCTCAAGTTCAGGGACTTCTGAGAACCTGAATAAAGCTGATATGGATCAACCCCTTTGGGAGCAGCTCTTTCCTTAGAGCATTAAAGTAGAAAGACCAACACATATCCTTAGCTGGGTTGCAAACCAAGCAACCTGAGGGGCAGATGAATGGACAAATGTTTTCGTATCTGGTTGCCTCCACAGTGAATAAGAACACTGGTTAGACATCTGAATCACTACAGGGGAAAACAAAAAACTTTCTCTATTGCTAGCAATTTGTTCCATCAAGAAAGCAAGAAAATTGAAGATTTAATTAACACTTCTAAGAAAGTATTTGGTATTTACACTTGTTTATTACCTAAAAGCAAATTTTATGAGGTCTCAGGAAGTCTTGGCAAAAATTATGCTTCAAAAGATTCTTTTTGAACTCTGGCTAATAACACTCATTTTGGCAAACAACCTTATTTTGCTGCTACTTATACTGCAACAAACTTACTGCAGAGTATTAAAAATTATTTTTCCTTAGAAAACTATAATTCAGGAGTCAAGCCTGACAGCAAGAAGAAATGGAGTGGAGTACTGTTAATTTTTCAAAATTGATCCTGAAGCCATCAGGGATGGGTTATTTTTCAATAAGGGAGAAAATACAGAAATTGGAATAGATCTTTTTCTTAATTAAGGGAAAGAAAGAGGAAGAAGGGCTATTGATTTATTTTTTAAAAAAGGAACACAAAGAACTTCAGTTGGTTTAGGTCTTTGTGTATGCATTTGGTTTCTACTTCCTAACTGCACAGCCTTTGTTACAACATACTTGTGCCAAATTCCACATACAGATCCTGATTTACATAGCTCTCCTCTATGTCAAAAAAGAAATCAGGGCTAACTCTTGTGGGGGAGGATGTGAAGAAAAACTGGAGAATATTCTAGCTGATGAAAAGTGCTTTAAAATCCTTTCTCAAATCCCCAAAACTGCCTTTCTAATAGCACTCTCTAACATTGTGATTTTGATATCCATTTTCAGCACACCTTGACTTCCAGAGTATGGAACAGAAAGAGAATTTAGTGTTTTTTTTTCCTAGTTTTAAAAGGAGAATCTGAAACTGTGTATTATATTATTATTATACTTTAATATGGAGCAAAATCAGGAGTGTGGAGTCTTATAGCAAAGCTAGAGAGAGAATATGTGTGAAAAGGTGTTGTTGAATAAGGCAGCAAATTACAATTTTTGTAAAACAGGTTTATATATTAATAAAGAACTGGGGCAAAGGGAATTATACAAGCAAAAAAGATGGTTAAAAAAAGTAACGATGAACAGTTATGCATATACACACACACCACCCCCAAAAATTTTAGATTATGAAATCCAAGAATCCTAGTCCATAATTCATGTAAATGTGTTGCTGTGGAACTTATTTTTACTTCTCTCCATAAATGCATTGTTAACACAAAGAATAATATTCTTAGTTTATGGACTATAGTTAAGGGACATTTTAGGAGTTGACTTTTCCTTCAAAAATAAAAATAAAAACTGAAGAGGGTGTAAATCCCTCTTACTGCCCTTGTGCAGGTCTTAGATTTCACCCTGCCTTTTTCCAAACAGAAAACAGTAAGAGGGTGCAGACAGCTGTAACCTAGAGTGAAGGATTTAGTGAGCTGTCAATTTCTTGCAGAATTCTTTACTGGTACTGCTGTTCTCTATGTATTATTAATCTATTTATATTTAACTCCAGCTATTAGTTTGCCTCTTCCAGCCACTGAGCCATTTGCAAAAGAGAAGAGAGAGAGACAAGGGTTGCTATTATTAGGCATCCTTGTGTGTGTGATGAAAGTGGAGACAATTAAATAATACCATTTTGCTTCTTTGAAAATGACAGAGATTATTTGGGGTGGACAACTCAGGGCTGGTTAACATAACCTTTCCCCTCAGAAGGCAAAACAATGGAGATACATTTCTGAAGTACTTAATTAAGCCTTTAGCAATGAGTGTGGGAAAATTACAGACCCATAAAAATCCTCCAGTTCTAGGCAAGAGTAAATTTTCTCTGCAGCATTCTGTCACTGCTCATTTACTGCATCATTTTGACATCTCATATTTCCACAAGGTTTTTATATAATCTATAAACAGGGACAGAAAGGTGAAGAATAGAGAGAATGAGGACAAAGTCTGGACCTCCTATGCTGTTACTTCCTTTCAGTTTTCCATTAAAGGGTGAGGCTGAAGGGTAGCATTTTAAGATGATTTCATTAAAAGGCTGAGACATTAATAATCGACACAGCAAGAAGAAAGGTGTGAAAAACTGCCACCGCTTGCTCACTCTTCCAAAGGATGAGTGTAATTCAGTCATAATGTAAGCTCTTTAATGTTCCTCCCCCAAACCTTTTTCGATCAGGAAAGCCTGGAATCTGTAGGCAAGAAAGAGAATCATGTTAGGACTCAAAACAGGCAAAGTTCAAACACTAATAGCCTTTAAAATGTTTTCCTTATTGTTTGCTTCTGTATATTATTAGGCTGTTGTTCTTAAAAGAACTCTCTTTTTGAGGTTTTACTCAGAAAATCACAGCAGATTAAGTAATAAAAATAAATTCTACTAAAATGAAAAACATTTGCCAAGCAATTGGTGATAGTATCATCTAAATCAGACAGGATGAAGGTGAAACTCACAATACTCACCTGCTGGACTTTCATATGAATTATTTGCATTGTGATAGACTATGGATATGTACCTTTGCAGTCTCAAGCAAATTATTTCCTACTTTATCCCTGGATTCTTCTTGTTTCTAAGACCCTTATTTTCCCTTGATCTGAGTTTTTCTTCTGTATTTAAGAAGACAGAAGAAAGTCAGTTGGTTGGGCCTGCAAAGTACTCCCCCGTCACCCCAACTTCTTAAAAAAAAAAACTAAAAAATGAATTTGGAAGTTAATTTCAGATCAATCAAACCTTTCCACAAATTCAAGAAATCATTTTATCAAAAAAGATAGATACAGACCTGATTACCATCCCTTAAAAAGTATCTCTTCTCTATGACCTGTTAGAAACAAAGATATCAAGGGCTTAGCATGTATACCTTGAAAAAGCAGTAAACACGCTGACCACCGATGGCACTGAAAGGAGTACACCCAAGTGAAGAGTCGTTTCAGTAGCAACAGACATCTGCTACACCGAGTTAAGTCTGGTGCTAGTGGGGTCAGGATTGTGGAAGTGTTTTTATAAAGACCTGTCTCTAGTTCCAGAAAGCATTAACGTTAGGTCAAAAAATAAATGAACAAACAAAAATGACTAAATAACGAGAGAAAATGACATGAGATCTCATGCAATTCCCAGTGTAAATCTGGAAATTTGGCTGCAAATTTGGTTCAAAACTCTCTAGCAGTCAGCCCCAAAAGACACCAGACAGAATCCATAACATAATTCACTCTGCTGTATGGCAGAAACCAACACAACAGTCTAAAGTAATATCCTCCAATTAAAAAACAAATTTAAAAAAAAAGCAAAGAATTTTTGCTACTACAATAGCACAACTATTCTTTAAAGAGGTCTCTGTTTGTATAATGTAGTCAACAGCCGTATCCCTCCAGTAACCACAGCTGTAAATTCTGTAGGTCCTTAATGGAGACAGATGACACAATATCAAAATCGGTCAATTAACTTCTTATGGACTTAATCTGCACCCTTAATTCATTAGTTTCAGAACTGTTTGTATTTGGTCAGTGGGAGAAATAAGGCAAAATCCATCACTATTACTGAAAAGAAGCCTTCAAAACATACGCCTTTATATAATGAATTTAAGGTGGACTCTGGGAGAAGGCGAGGGTGGGATGTTTCAAGAGAACAGCATCGAAACACGTATATTATCTAGGGTGAAACAGATCACCAGCCCAGGTTGAGTGCATGAGACAAGTGCTCGGGCCTGGTGCACTGGGAAAACCCAGAGGGATTGGGTGGAGAGGGAGGTGGGAGGGGGGACCGGGATGGGGAATACATGTAAATCCATGGCTAATTCATTTCAATGTATGACAAAACCCACTGCAATGATGTAAAGTAATTAGCCTCCAACTAATAAAAATAAATGAAAAAAAAAAAAAAGAGTACTACATGTCTACATGATGAACACTTGAGAAACTGCAATGTCACCAGAGACAGTATTATTTTCTTTACACAGAGCTGTTGTGATTAAGAAAAGTTCAGCAGATGAGAATACAGATTATTTGGAGATTAAGAGATTAGAGTCTAGAATTATGAAGCTAGGAATTTCTTCCGAATAAAGCAGAGTGTCTTCTTCCAGGCCTGTACCAGCTTGCTCCCACTGGCCTGACAGCCATCTCACCTGGATTCTTTTTATCTTCAAGACTATGGCTCAGTTACTTTTAGCCACAAGAGACTCAGAGTAAGGTTGCATTCATTGGCCTCAAAGGCAGAAAAGCTGGTTAGTGATTAGTATACATCTAAAATACTTGACCCTACAAAAACTATGACAGAACTGATTCTCTTTTTTCTCTCCAGGGTAGGACAGGAAAATTCTATTACTCTAGAGTGGAGAGGAATTACTACTAGTGAAGGGAGTGTGGAAAAGGATTAGATACCCTCTTGGAAAAGAAATCCTGTAAATTCTGTAAGATAAGATGCAGAGAAAACTGGGTTAAATTTAGCTGCCAGGTTCCTTGCTTTCAGCCAACCACCGCAATCTGGAGGTCTGGACAACCTCTTAATCCACCTACCTTTTGTTGTGATTTAGGAAATCAAGAGAGAAGTTACTTTTCCCTTTTGCTCACAATTCCCTGCCCTCAACTTGTGTTATTATTCTCCTATCAAACCTTGCTCTCTTCTTAAAACCAACCAAGTTCCCTCTAATATCTTTCTTTTAAGTAAAGCTTTGCCTGACAACTTGAATCACACTGGCCTATAATCCATTGTTTCTCTGGGATATAACTTATCACATTTTTTTAATTTTAAAATTAATAAATGATTTAAGCAACTTCCCTGGAGGCACAGAGGTTAAGACTCTGTGCTTCCACTGCAGGGGGCATGGGTTCAATCCCTGGTGGGGGAACTAAGATCCCACATACCATGAGGTATGGCCAGAAAGTAGAAAAAAAAATTTTTTTAAGTAAAAAATAAAATTAACAAATTATTTAAATTTAAGACAATATATTGTGGGATCTTTCCATGTCAGACACAGATCTATGAATATAAGATGTACCTAGGGGACACAGATGGTATATGCTGGTCATTCAGTTGTGTCTGACTCTTGATTCCATGGACTCTAGCCTACCAGGCTCCTTTGTCCACAGAATTCTCTAGGCAAGAATACTGGAGTGGGTAGCCATTCCCTTCTCCAGGGGATCTTCCCAACCCAGGGATTGGGCCTGGGTCTCCTGCATTGGCAGGTGGATTCTTTACTGTCTGAGTCACCATGGTGGTCATGGATCTAAACCAAATAGGAGCTCATATGTTTTAACTGTGAAAACAATGTGGAAAGAAAATTTGGTTCCTTGCAGTGCTTCCTACCATTTTTTTTCAGTCATGGCACATTTAGAGAATACTAATATGTGTGTGTGACATGGGGTAAATGGTAGAGCCAGCCCAGGGGCCTTCCTTAGCTGCTCTGAGAACGGAAGGGATCACCATCTCAGTACACCTGTACCTTTCCTGCCACACACCAGTTGGGAGTTTATGCAATGAAGCAAAAATTTCCCAGTGGTCTAATTTTAAACAGGGATGAGCTGCGGGGCCTATCTCATGTTGACCTATTAGACAAAAGAGCCAAATATTTAGATCTCTAAATAGCTAAAAGAAAAAAGACTCATAAGACAGAGCTATGAGGAGGGAAATTATTTTCTTGGGAGATTTACTTACAAAAGGAAATATAATACAGAAATTAATCTTTTTTCAATAATAATATAGAAATACATCCTATTTCACTTTACTGCACAATGTCAACATTGGGTGAACAGTTTAACTTGGTCAATATTATATACAATGCAGAGACATGGCCTTGTGAAGGAAAGACAAACAGCGCTCTAATTTACCAGTATGCTGAATCATTCTACATTTTCATTCCAGTTCAGGACAATAAGATGATGCTGGTAAGAGTCAATAACTGGAATGCAAAGGTTTCTGATAGGGAAAATTAGGGAATCAAGAAGATGACATAGCCTTAAAAGTAATAGTAACATTTATGTGGGAGAATATCAGTAGCTGGGTGAGCAAAATAACTCAGGACTTTAAGTAGAATCTCCTCAGTTTAGTGCATTTTATGGGGGCTTCGGGGTAGTGAATGAGTACAAAAAGAGCTAGAAAATATGCCAACATAAATTGTTTTAAGGAGGGAATTAGGTAACTTTAAAAAAAAACTATTTGAATTTGGTAGGTTTCATCCTTTGCTTAGAGAACACTGGGGATAGAATAAACACATCAGCAGGTCTTGAGCAATTAGACAAACAGATAAGAGAGCTCAAAACAAGTATTATTCAAGCTGTGACGTGCAGGATGAAGGAATAAAAAGACAAAGCATTCTGCAAAGAATTTAAACTCTCATGGTACATAAATTAAGTTTAAAAATAACTTAATTGAAGCCATTACCTTATCAAAAAACCTACTGAGCTTGACAGCATTGGAAGAACCTGCAGCTAAGTACCGTGGATTTGTGCAATCCTAGGAGATAAAACGTAAGATCCACAATTAAATGTTAGGAAACATAAGCTTTTTGTTAGTCATTACTGTTCCTCTTGCACATTTCTATAATAAAATATTAGGCATCATACTCATAAAATATTCAAGTAATTTTTCAAATTATGATACACAGAGCAAAAGGAAAGTGCTAAAGGAAGACAAGGCCAGTTACTCTTTGTTATTTAGGCAATTTTAGAGGACACTGACCAATGTATTCATCATCAAATAACTTCATAAAGGAAGACAGGATTGGTAATGTCTTACTAACAACAAAACTAAGATACTACTTACGTGACTTACCTGTATTTACCTTGGAAAGCAGAAACTGAGCTATCAAAAATAAATAACACTTCACTATTTAATACTAGTTATTTACCAGTACTCATCTAACTTAAGTACTCTGAAGTTCTTGGGAAGAGTAGGAAGCATGAAAATAAGGAGTAAAGGAGTAACAGGAGAAAAAAACAGACAGAGCAGTTGCCGGGGCTCCTCACTCACTGAATGCAGGCGCCACATCCGTGGTGGGCCGTAAAGATAACAGTAAACAAGAGATATACTGTGATAGTAATAAACAACAGATAATAAGTTTATTTTAAAATACCATTATTATTTTTAATAGTAATTAAATAAGAAACAACAGACATTACCAGAATAAAGAAGAGAAAATGGGGCTCTGAAAAGACAAAATAATCTGAAATAGTATAATGATAGTACATTCCAATGATTAGTAAAGATCTTAAATGGTTTACTATCCTTTCCCTGGAAATCCAATGTTGAATTGCCTTCACTTGTCAATACTGACTTGCCACCTCAAGAGACTGACTATGATTTTTACCTCAAATGCCACTTAAAACCCAACCATGGGGATATGATACAGGCTTCTTTGCAAGGACAGTATTTAATTTTTCAGTTATAAATCATCTGTGTTCCTTGGGACCTAATTATTGTTGGATTTATTCTGACTGTAATTTATTTGTAATTTATTCTGATAAATACCCACATGATTCCTTTCCAATATATTTTATAACAATCATCTATTTTACCAATATACAACATTTAAAGGCTCACGTTTTAAATTTTGGCTAGAAGCTAAAATACATTTTCCAAAACCTCAAAAGAAAAAAAGAGACTACAATAACTTTTCAAAGATTGTAGAGTAAAAGAAAAATCAGAGGTCTCAGAAGCCAGTAGGCTCTGAACCTGAGTATCTATCCCAGTATCTCTAGACTGTGTGACACTGGTTAGGTTACAAAACCTTTAGAGTTAAGCTTACTAATTTGTGAAATGGGGATAGCAATACTCATCTCATAGGATTTTTGTGAAAATTAAAGGAGATAATGCATGTCCAGGACTTCCCTGGTGGCTCAGATGGTAAAGCGTCTGCCTATAATGCAGGAGACCCAGGTTCGATCCCTGGGTTGGGAAGATCCCCTGGAGAAGGAAATGGCAACCCACCCCAGTACTCTTGCCTGGAAAAATCCCATGGACGGAGGAATGTGGTAGGCTACAGTCCATGGGGTCGCAAAGAGTCGGACACAACTGAGCGACTTCACTTTCTTTCACTTTCTTAATGCATCTCCGGCACATAGCAGGTACTGAAATACTAGTTTCCTTCTTTCTTCATTCCAAGAAAATGCCATCAGATTGAATTTTTAGACACAAAAGCACTTAACATAATAAAAGATAATTCTATATATGGATTAAATAGACTGAAATATTGTGTAATACACTGTATTTGAAATAATGTTTGAACATTTATATAGTAGCTAGGGCGTATAAAAGACAAACCTTAAGTAGATATGTTTTACAAAACGATATTGGTTACGTAATCGTCAGACTGTTAAAAAGACTTCAGACAATTCCACATACAGCTAAAGTACTAAATAAAAAAATTAAATCAAACAAAAAACAAAACCTCTCCAAAACTTACTTCAACAATTTCAAGTTGACCAGGCTAGAGAAATCCTATAATTTTAGGATGAGAATTTTTGATCTCAAAGAACTATAAACTATCTGCTATTGATCATGACTGAGGGCAAAGCCTGAAAACTAATAGCTCTAAATGCTTGCCTAAGCTTGAGAAAGAAATCTTAACTAGGGAAGATGCTTCAGAATGATCACTTTGAAGTAAACACATAACAGAGAAAAATTTGTGCTAGACATGATAAGCCTGGTAGTGATTTAGTTGCTAAGTCATGTCCAACTCTTGCGACCACGGACTGTATCCTGCCAGGCTCCTCTGTCCATGGGATTCTCCAGGCAAGAATACTGGAGTGGGTTGCCATATTCTTCTCCAGGGGATCTTCCCAACCCAGGAATCAAATTTGGGTCTCCTGCATTGCAGGCAGATTCTTTTCCGACTGAGCTATGAGGGAAGCCCACAACAAGCCTAGCAGGATTTAAAACAATAAGTAATCGCCTCCCTGTTTATAATTTAAACAATTTGCCTTCCCCCTCCCCAAACACAAGATAGCTTTGATTCTATCTTTGAGGTAGACAATTATGTTAATTCTTACTGTTTAATAATGTTAAGTAAATTCATATAGGAACCAAAGATGTTAGCATTAATACTGTTCAAATCAGTTTTTACTTGAGACTTTATATTTACTTGCTGAGTCTTTTTGACTGCTATCTCTTTTTGAAAAGCGTATCTAACTTTCCTCCTCATTTTTTTCTTCGCTGCATCCTCAAGACCGTCTTGCTGTTTCTTCTGTGCTCTGGAAAGTGTACGCTGATTGAAGGCTTTAAGTATGTTGTATGTGAACACTGTGGAGACCACGTGTGCCAAAGTACCACTATTTGAGTACCTTTACATCTTGTTAACAATTAAAGATGGCCCTGCCTTTGCAAGTAAAACAGGAAAAGCACATAGATAGGTGATTGTCATAGAAACTCACAGCTACTGAAACAGATACATTCTAAAATACATTAAAAGTAATTGCTGGAACAAATTAAGCATATTGAATGGCAAATTTCCCTTTGGAAACAATGTTCAAAAGAGTAACCTCAGCACTTCTTCAAGAAAGATATTATATATTCTATGTAATAGGAATCCTTTGGACTATGATGGTGACTACCTGGGACATAATGCTGACAGCTGAGGGAAAAAAAGCACCTCCACTGCAAAGCAGATTGTTTAAAACAAAACAGAACAAAACAGTGGACTGTCAGGCAGAAGCTAACTCAGTTATGGGGGTAGAGGTGGGGTTGAACCTAGCAGCGTTCACCAATGTTGAATCACAGAAAAAGGGCATCAGAATAACCTGAGTCATTCGTTAAAATTACAGAGTCCTGGTCCTTCTGTCACACCTTATGAATAAAAAGCTCCAGTTGTAGGGCACTTATTCAAAAATTTTCACAAATACTGTTGGTAATAAGAATATGCAGTCAGGTTTGGGTACTTGGTGATCTAGATGATTTCTAATAATTCTTTCAGATCCAAGATTCTAAATGTTAGCTGAAGGATAATTAAGTGGAAAATAGGTTTAGTTGCAGAGCACAGGCTCTGGAGTTAGAGCACCTGGTTCCACCTGTGTAACCTTGGTTTTGTTACCCCTCTCTGCTTCTAGTCTTCATTTTTATTTTTTTTAATTCATTAATTTATTTATTTTACTTTACAATATGTATTGGTTTTGCCATACATTGACTTGAATCCGCCATGAGTGTACATGTGCTCCCCATCCTGAATCCTCCTCCCACCCCGCTCCCCATCCCATTCCTCTGGGTCATCCCAGTGCACCAGCCCCGAGCACCCCTGTATCATGCACCGAACCTGGACTGGTGATTTGTTTCACAGATGATAATTTACATGTTTCAATGCCATTCTCCCATATCATCCTGCCCTCGCCCTCTCCCACAGAGTCCAAAAGACTGTTCAACACATCTGTGTCTCTTTTGCTGTCTCACATATAGGGTTATCGTTACCTTCTTTCTTCATTTTTAAAATGGAGATACTTATAGTACCTATCTTCTAGGGTTGATGTGACAATGATGCATGTGAGACAATGTACATAAAGTACTAAAACAGTGTGCCTGGCACCAATATGTGCTTAATTAATGCTAGCCCTTAGTTGTATTAAACCAGCACCACCATGGCTGAAATACCAGTACACTGATATATTGCAGAAATCCTACTTGTGAACAATGACATATAAACCATGACTGAAACTGCTGGCCAGGATCATTCCCTCAGCAACACTAACTGGCTTATATGAGAACTTTCCTAGCCTTTTTAAAGTCTAGTTTTAATTGACCTAAATATCTCAAGAAGGGACTCAGTTCATGGTATAAATACATATAAGTATATATAAACTAATTCTTATGAAGCACTCCTAGTTTACAGTTTGTAACTTTCTCATTTGTATGTTTGTTTTCCCTTTAAGGTAAACTCTAGTTTAAGAAGCTAAGAGGCTTTTCTAAAGCAAGAATAAACAACGCACAGTATCAGTGACCACTCTTTGTCATCTTAATTATTTTGATTTTGGTGTGATTTTTGAAGATCTTTTCAAGAAAAAGCCTGTGATTTACACAACAAAGTCTGAACATTGCAACAGATCAGCACACAAGGAGGCTGTGCCCATCTCATAATCTGTATGGCTCCAGTCTTCACTACTGTTTGGACTAAAACCCAAATGCCTGATTCAAATATAAAGTTTCTTCTGTGAATATGTAATTTGTGAAGTCTTTGGTTTTGCCTTTTCCTGATAATAAAACAAGCATGCATTAGTGAAAATACACACCAAATTGATCTCTTCTGCATTGAAATCCTCAGCCAGGAAAGCAGTCCTAGTTAAAACTTCATGACGCTTGTTTTCATGAATCTGATCCAGTTTAGTCCCTATTACCAACAATGGGATTTGGTTATCAGCAAACTGTTCCCGGTCATAATCCCTGTGATAAATAATAATGAAGAGGTGAACAGAATTTACCTTTTCTGATGTAGATGTGTAATATTTAAATGTAACTAGCTTATACTATTTTACATATACTTCACTAACTCCTGCTCACCCATCACCTGTAAACCTACTTTTCTCCCAATTTCTTACACATGCCTGTTCATCTTTCAGTCAGTCTTCACCATCTTTCAAGTTCCAACTATTAATTCAACTACTCAAAATTTGTCCCTGGCTCTTATGGACTACTTGAATAAATTGAGAGCCCACTAGGTATATGAAAGTAGGCTGACTGACTTCCCCTAAAACTCTGTCTTCTAAGGCTAACAGCTCAGAAATTTTTCTGAGGAGATATAGACAGTGGATTCAAACCTCAGTGGACAGAAAACCCAGGAACCTAGCACGCAGTCAAGCCTTTGGCAGAGGGGAATGCCAAGCTTCTGGGTACCTTCTGGAGTACACATAAGCTTTACATCCACCATACTTATTTCTGCCTGTGAATAGCAAAGAAAAATAGATCATTTCAGGAAAATAAGAAATAGGAATGCTGAAGGCCAGAATAAATCAACCATAGCTGATGCTACTGCCTGGGGAAAGATGGATTCAACAAATGGAAAGGGAAAGAAACAGGAAACAGTTTAAATGTAAAATTAGTAAAAGGAAAGAATTAAGCAACAAATAGCTGTCTGCCCTGACATGAGAGCCATGGAGACAAAGAACCACTTGGGGTTGGTGGCCCTGGGTCACTCTATTGCTGAAAGGAACATAGAGCCCAATGTTATTCAGTTAATATAAATTCTACTCACGTATGAGAAATAAAACAGATTTTGATTTCTGACATGAGCTCAGTTTATAACAGTCAGCAAAATCTGGTTGCAACACCTTATGTCAATAAATCAATATTGCATAACCCAACAAATACAAACCAGGTGAACACAGCTTTTTCCTTCTTTTGGCATTATTTTCCTTTCTCTTTAAATAATCTAAATCTTGTGTATATGTGTCTATAAAATTACCAAATCTCTTTGCTCTTCACAATAATCTTACAGAGCCTCAGTTACTGTTCAGCCTTGGAGCTCAATTGTTTTGAACTATTTTACCTCCCATTTCATAAAAATGTTATCATTCTAATTACTGCATCAAAACCAATAACAGTTTGAGTTCAAGGCTTTTGTTTCTTCTTACCAACATCAATGCTGACTTAGGAGACATGGTCCAAAACTGAAAACTGCTTTATTAGAGAATAAAGTTCTTAAAAAAAAAAAAGTATATGTTTATTTATTTGGTTGTACCAAGTTTTAGTTGCAGTGTGTGAATTCTTAGTTGAGGCATGTAGGATCTAGTTCCCTGACCAGGGATTGAACCTTGGGTTCCTGCATTGGGAGTGTGGAGTCTTAGCTACTAGACTGCCAGGGAAGTCCCGAGAAGAAAGCTTTGAAAGTGTCCTCCTTTAGGACTGCCCCCCCATACTCTGACTTTGGCTTACATACAAATTTTTGTATGTATTTTAACAAACATCATCTTCGACACATATATTTTTTTGTCACTTGCAGTCTTTCATAATCTTTTGCAAGTTAACATACATATATTTATTGTATATATGTAACATAACATATATGTTACATGAAATATATATATAAATATATACACACACAATCTGTTCTCTCATTTCTTGTTTTAGCTTTCCTTTTCGCTCATTTTCTTTCATTAAATCTTATATCCAATTTGAAATTTGGTATGGAAATCCTTTTTTTCTTTTCAAATCATTAGGTAAAAAACAAATTAGGAATTTTATCATGAATGGATAAGCCTGATAATAACATCAAAAGAGGCAGATAACCAGGTTTTCATATTATACGTACAATACCACTTTGGCAAAAACAAAAAACCTTGCATCTTTCAGACTACTGTATTTATCTACCATTCTAGAGAAGATAAGAATTCAGAAAAACAAATAATTTGGAACGTGACACTCAGATACAAAAGTCATCCTCAACTAAACCCTCACAACATTATAACTAATTCAAAGTGAATCACGGATCTAGAAGGAAACCAAAAGCTATAAAACTTCTAAAAGAAACACAGATTAGGCAAACAGTTGTTATACATGATTCTCAAAACACAATACATAAAGGAAAAAAAGAGAAACTAGACTTCACCAAAATGAAAAACTATTGTTTTGTGAGAGATACTGCTAAGAGAATGAAAAGACAAACTACAGACCGGGAGAAAATATTTGTTAATCAAACATCTTACAAAATGGTTATTTTGGAAGGTACATTCTTGTGACTGCTATAGCATTTCAAACCAATTGTGAAGTAATTTGGGCTTACCCATTTGTTACCAAGACTCCAGTTGGCACCAAATCCCTATTTAGAGCTTCCAATGACCAACGGTACAAGTTTTGGGATGACTTCTTATTTGTTAAGTCATGCACTAAAATAATACCTAAAATAATCAGAAAATAATGTCAATATTTTAACATTTCCTCTTCATTTCACAAGTGACAAAGCATTAGACTGCTTAATGAATGCATTCTGGTATGGCTAACAAACTCAAACATGATTATTTAAAAATTTCCTCTGTAAGTTCTTGCAAATAATTATTCACAAATAATTAACTAAATTTTTTTCTTTGTCAGTTATATAACTTTAAAAAAAATTCTACAAGAGCTGACAAAAATTTCATTAAGCTCTTAGGATGTCTTTTTTTTCTTCATTAAACACTTAATGAGTGCCTACTCTGCCTGGTCCTAATTAAAGAACTGCTTCATCAATAAAAAGAATCAAAATTACTGTAAGTATAGAAGAAATTATATTCATTCAAAAAGATTATTTTTCTACACTATGCATCTGTCATAGACACCATACATATAACTATTATTTACACTCATTAAAATATTTAATAATAAAAATTTATTTAAGTGGTATTGATTTAATTTAATACAAACTTCTATTCTTTAGCTGACAAGATGTTTTCTTGAAGGTTACCTGGACCTAATCAACTTAAAAGTCTAATCATTTAGTTCTCTGAATTAATGCCTAGCTATGTAAGCTTGCTCAATCTGTAAGAGATTTAGTTAAAACATAGCAAAAGAAATATGCCACAAGGAGACAGGAAAAGATAGTTAAGAAGTATAAACAGTAGAAAATAAATGGACTTTCTAGAGACTGAGGAAAACTGTAAAATATAATGAGGTTGAGAAGTACAATTAAATAGAATCAGCTAAGACCCTAGACAGAAAGGCAAAGCAGGTAATTATGATACAATATATACAATAGAGGAAATGTTTTAATGCCTAGTGAAATTTAGAGTCAAGAGACTATATGTTTTTAAACAAACCCCAACTCTTTTTATATTACCCAGAGTCTACTGTGAAGAGAGAATGTGAAACTGATGATTCTTCCATCTTCAAGATGTAAGATATGTAAATATGAAAAAAGAAGGGCATGAGAGTTAGAATTATTTGGCTCCTCTAGGTTTTACAGACACTGTACAACTAAGGCGCTTGCGCAAGTTATAGTTGACTAGTTCCAGGTGGCTCAAGTTAAATCTGCATCTCTCCTGGCATCTGGAACAAACAGAGATCTGACACTGGCCCCTCGGTCCAACTGCATTCACTCTACCTTCCTCAATGAGGGGCTCTAATACGCATTAAGGAAACAGGGACAGACTTAAAAAGGAATCAAGAGCTACTGTTAAAAATCATAGCTAATATTTATTCAGTATTTATGTACTACATATTGTGCTTTCCATGTGTCATCTAATTTGATTTTCAGAACAGTTCTATGAAATAAGAATTATTATCTTTATTTTACACATGTGGAAATAGGCTCAGAGAGGCTGGTAAGTGGGGCAGCCAGGATTTGAAATCAAGTAATCTGACAGTAAAAGACTGGAGGAAAGCAGAATAAAGTCACTTCAGGGCAAAGGAATGGCAGATACTTTCTCCTCTCCTTATTTCCTAGGTATAAATACCAACATATGAGTGGGTTTGGCTGGGGGAGTGAAAAATTACAAAGGCCTAAATGAGTTATTAGACGTTTTGAGGATCTCTATTTATGGCTTTTGAGTTTTTAAGGACACTGAGCACCCTTTTCCTTATGTCCCTTCTTTCATTTGGGCTGAGAGTCCATGCTTTGTAGATTATGAGCTAGAAAGGACACAGTGAGGCCCAAAGGAAAGAAGTAAGGGTGACAGCTGATCAGAATATGTGCTAAATCTTTAAAAACAGAAAGTGAGGGACACTTCACAAGTCTCCTTTAGGGATTATCAGCCTCAGTCATCAAGTGGGAAGAGTTAGGATATTGAGAGAAGAAAGTTATTGCTAAGAACAGACTATATTTGAATAGAATGATCCTTATGCTCTGTTTCTTAGAAAACTAAGGATGGTAGATTGAGTAAAGAACCTTATGTGCTTCTAACAAGAAAAATCTTCCAGAGGTAGGCTCAAAGAACTCAGAAACTGATTTTTCTCTCTCTTTTTTTTTAAATTAAAGTATCATTGATTTATAATACTGTGTTAGTTTCAAATGGACAGCAAAGTGATTCAGATATATTTATACATATATATATGAAATTCTTTTCCATTATAGGGTTATTACAAGATATTGAATATAGTTTTCTGTGCTATACAGTAGGACCTTATTATTTATGTATTTTATACGTAGTATTTGTATCTGCTAATCCGAAACTTCTAATTTATCCCTCCCCACCTTTCTCTTTGGTAATCATAATTTTGTTTTCTGTGTCTGTGATTTCCCTATTAAGATTTTTCTTAACAGGGATTATTTTTTAAGAAGCAGGAATGTATCTCAGTCTTACCTGTAAAACTAACACAGCGTATATGAAATTACTTCAATAATATTCAAGGAAGATACAAATCACTAATGGATAGTAGGTATAAAAAAGATAACCAAATAAATATGGATTTAGATGGATTTCTTCAGTACTTACTAAGTTTACAACTCAGAATTCCATGAAGTTTCTAGGGTTTGAATAGTCCTTAACTTTATTATTTATTTATAATTTTTATCCTAATTCTTTCTCAAAAAGATCAAACAGCAAGTGTCATTTATCCAAACTTCTCTTTGCCAAATCAGATTGATACCAATGTTGACAAGTCGTTTGACCAGTATAATAAACCAGGCCTCATTTCTTTCTCTCCTGCTCTTTAACATTAGTCACCTAACACTATACCAGTCTTATATGTTTTTTCACTTATATATTCTATTAATACATGCTATTATCATGTACTTTATCATGTATTATGATATCATATACTAATGTCACCATCTTTAACTATTTTGTTTCATTTATGAATATTTTGTTTCTTCAGTTAGATTGTGACACTTTCAGATAGAATTCTGAGTTAAATATGACACAGGTCTGATACAACTAACACAACTCATCCTGTATTCTATAGTATGTATCCAGTGACAAGAGCCTTCTCTACTTTTTGTAGTATCTACAAAACCTTATGATATGGGAGATAAGATATTGAAAGAGGAATATAAGTAATGAAGATGGTACTGAATAATTACAATGCTTACCTATTATTGAATGAGATCTAAGTATAGTATAAATGAAGTCCAATTAATAACTAAGCATCTATCAGAAAGGAAGGGTAAGATGCTAAATCTGTTGGTATATCAATCAAAGAGAAGCTGAAATTATATTTCACAGTTAAAAAAAAAAAGGTAAAAACTGAATTTAAAAAAGATTAAAAAAAAAAACAACCACAGGTAAATCACAGGTGCCTATAGTTCAGTTCCTTGACACAGAGTAGGCACTCTATGAACTGCAATCATGTCCTATTACATACTTCTATCTGGAAGTCTGTTCCAGGTATTTGTACATAACTGGATGAAATTTCTGCACCCCTGAAAACATCCTTAGGTAGCTTTTATAATTACATAGGCCTCTCTCTAAGGAGCAGACAAAAGAAATCTCAGTATCTCTGTGACATCTGGCTTAGACCATGAGACTCCTAATGGTATATACTCAGTTGACTAAAGCAAAAGCAAGCACTCCCAGGGGACAGTGTTTTGAAAGTTCCATGTTTTATGTCAAGTACCTAAAATACAATTTTATGTCTCAATATTTAGTTTATGACAATAATGTAAACAGAAGTACTTAGACAAAGCAAATATCTAATGTTCTGAAATACATAGTCAGAATCTAGAAAACACAAACTGGAATGTGTTATGCAGATTTAAGAGCTGTGAATATACTATATCTTTCTTAAACTGAGTCCAGCATTCCACATCAGATGATCTGAGACCACTAAAATATGGTAAAAATAAAAAAAGCTTTACCATTTACAGAGTTGTAGAATACTGCTCTTGTGCTTTTCACACTGCTGGCACTGCCCACAGAGCCTCCAACATCCCATAATTCTATATAGTAGGTCTTCTCTTCTGGAGTTCCTTCTTTGTAGTCATGAACCTAACAAATCAATCCATCAGAATAATTATTATAGCCACAAGAAAACTGGTAAGCCTCCTCATTCCAGCTTAAAGCACTGGACCTTTCCATATCAGCAGCTTGCCCCCTGACTCTGATTACCACCTCCCGTCTTTTCAGCTCTCTACTACACCAACTCTAATAATAATCTCCGACCCCAAAGGTTCCTATAGTTCATTGTTCCTAACATCTTCCGAAGTTCTCCCTTCCACTTCCAAATCTTCACTTCCTTCCTAACAAAGCAAAAATTCCACGATTTGTCATTTTTGTCACTCCTACCTCACCCCCCAACATAGTATTCACCAAGCAACATTTCAATCTTGATTATATCCACCTTTTCCTGTATTCCATGTCTGCGACTGAATATAATGTTCAGAAAAATATAAATTCAAGTTAACTGGATTCACTTTAAATTCCAGTCTACCTTTGAAGCTGTCCTTTAGTCAGTTCCATAGTCGATTTCTACTTTTCCTCTCCTAGATAACTATTTCACACTTACTCCTCTTTTTCAAATTTCCTATAACTCTCTCCTATCCTCAAGCACAGCTAATAAGCTTGCTTCCCCAAACAGAAGCAATCAGAAAAGAATGTCTACAACTTGCTCTTCCCTTATCTACCCTCTGCATCTGTACTCATATAATCTGCTTTCCTGGCAGCTCTTATAGATAACTGTCTGTGCTCCTAAGGCCAAATCCCCTTCTTAAGCATGAAATCCCATTTCTTCTTTCTTATCAAAGAGGTAGTTCTATCAATTCTCTTTTTCATCATCACATTTTCCCTCTCTGTTCGATAATTCCCATCATCAAACAAACATGCCATAATTTTTCCCATCTTAAAACTTGACCTCATGTCTTCCCTGAGCTACCATACCACTTCTCTATTACTTTTTATAACAAAAGCCCTCCAAAGAGTTGTCTCTTCTCAACTGTCTCTGGTTCTTTTCTTTACATTCTGTTTTGAACCCATTCCTGTCATAACTTTTGACCCAATCACCCCACTGAAATGTCCCTTATCAAGGTCACTAATAGTCTCCATATTGCTAAATCCAATGATCAATGAACAGTTTTCATCTTACTCTACTATCTGATAAAACTAATCATTCCTCTTTCAGTACTTTTTTCACTTAACTTATAGGATATCATACTGTTCTGCTTTTCTTCCCACCTTACTGTCTCCATTTGGGTTGTCCTCATCTCTCTAACCTCTAATTGTTAGAGTGTTCCAAGGTTTAGTTCTTGAGTCTCTATCAACATCTGCTTTTTTGACAATATCATCTAACCTTATGATTTAAAATGTCATAAATATGTTGATGAGCTTCCCTGGTGGCTCAAATGGTAAAGAATCCATCTGTAATTTACATCCGTGCTGGATCAGTCCGTTCTACCTCAGACTTATCAGTCCATATCACCAGATTACAATTAGGATGTCTAAAAGGCACCTCAAATTTTAAATATTTAAAAATTATATCCCAATCTTCCTCCCAAAACCATTCTTCTCCCATTTTCTCTGCTTCAGTAAGAGGCAATTCTAGCCTTCTAGTTACTTGAAGGACCAAAAACTTAAGATTGAATTCTTAACTTAAAACTTAACTCCTCTCATACTACATATCTGATTTGTCAGCAAATCCTGTTGCTTTTGTCTTAAAAATATACTCAAGACCCATTCATTTCTCACCATCTCTACTATTAACACCCTCAAGACCTCTACCTCTTTGCCTGAATTAATGTAATCATCTAACTGCTCTCCCCACTAGAGCCTCAGTGACTCACTTTCCCACCACTCTTCATTTGTTCTGCATATAGTAGCTAGAGTGATCATTTCAAAATGCAACTTAGGTCATATCCCCCTTCAGTTCAAAACTCTCCAATGATGTTTACTCAGAGTAAACTCTAAAATCTCTCTCTTATGGTCTAGACTTTATAAGCATTTATTGCTTGTACCATATTATTACTCAGAAATGAAATCTGATATATGGCAACTCTATCTATTAGAATATAGACAAGAACCAGATTATAACATGGTGGTTCAGGGGTGTACATCGGAATCTTTTAAGAATTTGTCTTTTCTAGAAATATACATGCCAACAAAGGCAAAAAAATAAACAAGTGGGACTGCATCAAATAAAAGAGCTTCTATACAGCAAAGGAAACAAGCAACAAAGTGAAAAAGCATCCTATGGAATGGGATAAAATATTTGCAAATCATATATCTGACAAAGGGTTAATATCCAAAATATACAAAGAAATCATACAATTCAATAGCAAAAACACCCCCAAACAACCCAATTTTAAAAATGGGCAGAGTTTTTCAAAGAAGACAAATGGTCAACGAATACCTGAAAAGTTGCTCAATATCACTAATCAGAAGGGAAATGCAAATTAAAGGTATGAGACAGCACCTCCTATCTCTTAATATGGCTGTTACCAAAAAGACAAAGAGATAACCCGTGTAGGCAAGGATGTGGAAAAAAGGGAACCCTTGTGCATTGTTGATGGCAATGTAAACTGGTTCAGCCACTATGGAAACAGAATTAACATTCCTCAAAAAGTTAAAAATAGAACTACCATATAACCTAGCAATTCCACTTCTGGGTATATATCCAAAGGAAATGAAAACAGGATGCTGAAGAGATTATCTGCAATCTCACGTTCTACTGCACAACAGTCAAGACATGACAACAATTCAAGTGTCTGTTAATGGATGATGAATGAATAGAGAAGATAGGATATAAAACTGTGGGAAGTGAATATTTTCTTCCATTATTCAACCATGAGAAAAAAGGAAATCCTGCCATTTGCAACAACATGGTTGGATCTTGAGGGAATTATGCTAAGTGAAATAAGCCAGACTGAGAAAAAAAAAATACTGCATGCTATCACTTATATGTGGAATCTGAATAAAAGGCTAAACTCATAGAAACAGAAAACAGAAAAGTGTTTGCCAGGAGTTGCAGAGGTGGGGGAAATAGGGAGAATTTGGTAAAAAGGTGTAAATTTTCAGCTCTAAAGTAATAAGGTCTGAGGATATACAATGTGATTGAGTGTAGTTGGGAACACTCTACTGTATAACTGAAATATGCTAAGAGAGCAGAATGTAAATGTTCTCACCAAATAAATAATAAACATGTGACGTGATGGATGTGCTAATTAACTGGATGGGAGGAATCCTTTTACAATGCATAAGAATATAGTATATCATCACAATAAACACTTTAAATATCTTATAATTTTGTTAATTATATCTAAACAAAGCTGAAAAAAAGTCCTTAAGAAAAAAAAAGAAATATACATGCCAGACTTACTGAATCAGTTACTTTTGGGTCCAGTCTTCAGCATGCATAATTTGAAAATTCTCCAAATGATTTTGCTATAACCCCAAGGAATTAAGAATCACTGATTTTATAGAAAGTCAGAACTATTTTGGTATCAGGAGGCCTAGACCATACTCCTTGACTGTTACTGATAATCCCTGATATCTTTGAGTCTCAGTTTCCTTGCTTATAAAATTAAAATGAAGAAGTTATATTATGTGCATCAAATGGCTCTGAAATAAAAAGTAAGACAGCTGAGTAGAATGAACTGGGAGATTGGGATTGACATACATACACTACTGATACTATGTTTAACACAGATGAGAATCTACTGTACAGCACAGGGAACTCTACTCGGTGTTCTGTGGTGACCCAAATGGGAAGGAAATCCAAAAAGAGATACATGTATACATACAGCTTATTAACCCTGCTGTAGAGTAGAAATTGGGCTTCCCTGGTGCTCAGCTGGTAAAGAATTCACCTGCAATGCAGGAGACTCCAGTTTGATTCCTGGGTTGGGAAGATTCCCTGGAAAAGGGATAGGCTACACACTCCAGTATTCTTGGGCTTCCCTGGAGGCTCAGATGGTAGACCTGAGTTCTATCCCTGGGTCAGAAAGATCACTTGGAGGAGAGCAGGCAACTCACTTCAGTATTCTTGCCTGGAGAATCCCACAGACAGATTCCTGGCGTGCTGCAGTCTACGGGGTCGCAAAGAGTGGAAGACAACTGAGCAACTAAGTGGAGCATAGCACAGGGCAGAAACTAACAACATTGTAAGGCAGCTATACTCCAATAAAAATCAATTTTAAAAAGAGAGCTGAGTAGTTAAAATATATATCATAAAATACATGTACTATATTTCACAGAATGCTTCATACTTTTTACTTATTCATATTTTTTTTAGATCCAAATCGCTTTGTCCAAGGAAAATTTTAAATAAATAAGATATTCTACAGATAGTCACAATGACATTAAGAGAAGACAATGATTAACATGGCAACAAAGAGGATAGGAAACACAAATGGCAATAGCAAAATCACAGTAGCTGTGGACCACTGTGGATAACAGAAAGTAATTCTGTAGAATGTGATAAAAGTTATCACTATTTTGCAATTATATGGCATAAATAACAGATAATAAATGATCATGTTAAATCATCAATAAAAAGATCAAACTACATGAATTCTGTTTTGAAAGCAAGAAACTGTTTAATACATTTTATCAAGATTTCTAAGCATAACCACTGAAAGGAACAATATGAGCTATTATAAGGTGTTAGTTATCTGGTATCAAAAAGCTCAACACTTTGATGAAGTTCTCTTGATCCTGCCACCTTCCCTGGCTTCAAAACTAACCAGCGCTGGTTAGGTACTCCTCCTATTTGCTCCCATAACATGCTGCACAGTTCTATCATTTCACTAACCGCACTGTCATTTATCTGCCAGTATCTCTTCTATTAGATTCCTAAGCTTAAGAGCAGGAACTATATTATTCAACTTTGTAAGCCTAGAACATAGCATGATACCTAGCACATATTAGATACTTGGATATGCTTGGTTAAATCAAGGAAAAGATTCAGGGTGTCTCATCCTCTAAGGTTTTATTATATTCTGTTTATTATTTTACTGAATTCCAGTGCTTCTCAAGTACAGTTTTGAGAACAAACTAAA